TGTGTGTGTGTGTGTGTGTGTGTGTGTGTGTGTGTGTGTGTGTGTGTGGTGTGTGTGTGTGTGTGCCTGTGTGTGCGTAAAAATATCAGTGTTGAAACGCATCAAACAAAAAATGAATGTATATTTTGAATGCCTTCATTTCAACAAAGGAGCTGATTTTCCCCTTGGAAATCTAAGGGAGGCCAGTTTATCACAATAGTGGAAAATGCTGCAAACAAAATCGCAAGTTATTTAGACTTGATCATGTGTCTCAGTCAGAGAGAGAGAGAGAGAGAGAGAGAGAGAGAGAGAGAGAGAGAGAGAGAGAGAGAGAGAAGAGAGAGAGAGAGAGAAAGAGCGAGAGAGAGAGAGAGAGAAGAGAGAGAGAGAGAGAGAGAGAGAGAGAGAGAGAGAGAGAGAGAGAGAGAGAGAGAGAGAGAGAGAGAGAGAGAGAGAGAGAGAGAGAGAAGAGAGAGAGAGAGAGAGAGAGAGAGAGAGAGAGAGAAGAGAGAGAAGAGAGAGAGAGAGAGAGAGAGAGAGAGAGAGAGAGAGAGAGAGAGAGAGAGAGAGAGAGAGAGAGAGAGAGAGAGAGATTCAACAACATATCATGTATTTCATCAACACACCCGAAAACAAGGAACAACAACATTAACAAGAGTGGCCCGAGTGCACCTACAGCAGTAGCAAGGTTAAAAAAGTGGTCATGATCTCAGGTACAGGTTACCTGAGACACAGGCCCAAGGTCTGTGTATGATCTAGTTAGAAGCAGATTTATTTACATAATGCCCAAAGTAACTAACAGCTGTTGCTTGTATACAACAATCATGAAAGTTAAAAGATTGACTTAACCAAATAGCAACTAATGAAGGAAAGAAAAAGGGGGATAGAAAAAATAGAATCGCATGAAAGGTACGACAAAGATGCATACCGAGATCTTTAAAAAAAAAAAAAACATGGGACTTGGGATGAGCGCAGGAATAACGTCGCCCCATTATCTGTCTAAATATAATGGCGGTGCGGTTTCCCGTGCTGAAGGTAATGGTGATGGTAGAAGTGATATTTTCTTGGCAACGCAAGCAGTAAAATGTTGCTGATACTGCTACTAACACCTACTATTACCTACTTCTACTACTACTGCTTCTGCTGCTACAACCACTACGACCCACGATGATAATGATGATGATAATAATAACAATGATGATAACGGTGATGATTATCATGAGGATAATAGGCCAACGACAACAACAGGACAAGAAATGTCAGCACTAATACTGACACGATAGAAATGGTGTTTGTAACATCGATAATTAAGGGTAACGTTATCAGTTTCATAACAGGAGTGAGGGTAATAAAGCCGACAGCGAGAACAGCGTCAAGGAGATGATTACCTATTACCAGGTTAATGACCCTCACTTAAGCATCGGCATAGATTGTATTTGTAAAAAAGTGCATTTAGAAGCAGAAACTCATTTCATATTCTCTGAGTTCACACTTGAATATAAAGAAACTGTCAGGGCTAAAGACCACTCTTTTAGATTTTGAATAATCAATATTTGGGAACCTCTGTTTAAATCACGTGAAAAGGACAAGGCATCTTACAGATAAGGACTTATCTTCAGAGTGGAGTACAAACTTGGCAAGACTGTA